TCCTCCAAGATTTTGGTTGCTATTACGGACCATAAAGAGCTCTTGGAGGGTTCCCAGAGGCCCCCGCGATCCCTCGATTGAACCTTCAGGCTGTGATTCCAACAGGGCTCCGGAATATCGAGGCTCTAACAATTAGAACAAGGATCTGAGGTATATTATCTTAGAATGGTATAAGAACGACAGGGTCATAGTTGTTAGTAGTTGTTTCTGTTCTTTACCTTTGAGTTCATGTTGGAGGCTTCTTTCGTCTCGCTCCCTGAACCCTACACCGAAACACGAGAGGTTCAACTGATGAATGACAGTACTTCTGCAAGTTCTGCGATAATCTAGACCCATGGTCAATGAGCCCCCTACCTGTAAATAAATGGTTAAGAAAAGTCTTAATAGTACTTGTAAGACCCTTAGAGAAAAAGGGATTTATTGGTCAGCGGTCGAAATCAATCCAGCGCGTGCGGACTGTAAGTAATAAGCGAACTTGATCAGAACAAGGTGTTTCGCACCTGGGGTAAAAAAATGGGTTTAAACCCTTCTAAGCACCCTCATGATAATCCAAACCCCTATGTAGCACCCTTCTTGGACCCCTATAGTAGCCTCATGACACCCTTATTGAACCTTGCTAGATCCCGTTAAAGGAACCCCTTTTGCAACAAACCCTAAACCCTAAACCCTAAACCCCTATAGTAGCCCTTATAGTAGCCCCTACATAGCACCGGAAAGCCTCAGCCCGCTAGAAAGGCCAGGGGCTACCGAGACCCAGCTGCCGACCCCAAGCGCCAGGAAGAGGGCCTCAGGTTCTTTTTGGGTTTTGGGTTTTGGGTTTTGGGTTTAGGGTTTAGGGGTTTAGGGGTTTAGGGGTTTAGGGTTAGGGTTGAGGGGTTTTGGGTTTAGGGTTTCTTCAGAGTGTTTTTTGTGTGGACGACCCTTTTCCATCCTGCGACGGTCTGAAAAAGTGGTAATTCCACTTGGTGAGGGTTTAAGGTTTACAATTTCTCAACGGCCTGAGGCTTGGAGGGTTACAGGTTTTTCTGAAGCTTAGGATTTGACCGGCTTAAGGCGTCTTCAGCTTCTTAACAGCTTGAGGCTTGAGAGGGTTTGAAGTTGAGGGTATACAGGGCTTTGGGCTCGGAGGGTTAAGGGTTTTGTGAAGCTCGGTGTCTAAAAGGCTTAGGGCTTCGAGGGGTGAGGGTTTGTGAAGTTTAGGGCTTGAAGGGTTTAGGGCTTAAAGCCTTAAGGGTTTCTTGAAGCTTAGGGCTTGAAGGGCTTAGGGTTTAGAGGGTTAAGGGTTGGTGGAGTTTAAGGCTTAATGGGCTTAGGGGTGTAGGGCTTAGTTTTTTGAACGACACTTTTCCGTCTCGTTGGGAGACTGCAAGTTACGGGTTTTTTTGCCTCCTAAGAAGTTACGGGTTTAGGGATTTGGGTTTTTGGGTTTAGGGTTCCCAAAATGGGAGGTTTTCCCCCAAAAATGCACTCTATGTTGCTTACGAATTTTATATAATCCCGACACCCCAACACGCTGACCCCCTAATTCACCAAATCCTAGTAGAACCCTTATCCTTATAGTATTTCTGATGGTAACCGGAGTAACCGGTACCCTCACCTCTACAAACCCTTCGGGCAACCCTCGTAGCTACCCGTATGGTCACCTTGATAGAGATAACGGAGGTCTTACAAACTCGCTCAACGGAGGCCTCAAAAGGTGGGATGAAGGTAGGCAGGACTAAGGATCCCGTACCTAAGGACTCTTATCTTGGGGTTACCCCATCTACCTTCATCCCTAAACCCTAAACCCTAAACCCTAAACCCTAAACCCTAAACCCTAAACCCAAACCCACCCTTAGAGCCCTTTGAGCTGGGCCAAGGGGCGATAGCCGCCGAGACGGCGGCGACTTGCGGGGGAGCCGATTCGGGCCCGGCAGGAAGAAACTCCCACCGAAGCTCCTTGGTGTTTTGGGCTTGGGGTCCAGGGTTTAGGGTTCAGGGATTTAGGGCTTCGGGATTTGGGCACTTAGGGTTTATGGATCTAGGGGCTTTGGGTTCAATGACTCAGGGGTTTTCGGGTTTTGGATTTCCAAAGGAGCTTGTCAGGCATTATAGGCCGCCCAGGGTGTATAGAGCTATTGAGGCTAACAGGGCTTTCAGGGTTGGAAAGGTTGTTGGTATGCAGGGGCTCTTGGGGTTAACCGTGGCTTTGTTGGGGGGGTGAGGGGGGGTGAATAAACATGTACTGGTGTTATATACCTTCTGTACTCTGGATGTAAGCGTTACGAAGCTTAGCAACTAGGCTAGTACTGTTGCCGATCCTTGCAGCGCTTATTGTTTCCATCATTCCTGTTCTCACCTTATGCTCATGCTGATATGAACCTTCCCGTCCTTTCGGCATTATTGTACTTGCGACTCCGACAGCAGTCGGTACAATACGTTGCTACTGTTACGGACTGCCTTGGGCAATTTTCGCCGATCTCCTAAATCAAGAACCTGTCTCCCTCTCCTTTTTTGGAGCAGGGTTTAGGGTTTAGG